AAAAGAAGGAAACTACTCATCTTCTTCCTTTTTCTTTTCTTTTCCCCAGTTCTGATCGACAAACTGACTCTCGCCCGAGCTAATTTCCGTTCTTCCTCGTGGTCATTCTTCCGCTAATGGCTAGATTCTTGTATTCATAAAAAAAAGTGGAGGGTCTACAAAAAAGTGGACTAGTTTCACGAAATCTTTGCAGCGCCTCTAAATATGTTAATTTTTGTTCTATTATTATTATACATTGTTTATATTTTTTATAAACTAACGTAAACCTATTAAATACACTATTATATTGTCGATGGTAAGACAACCTAGTTGGTAAAAGGGCTGGGTTTCGAGTTTGGGATGTGACAAGGTCCCAGGTTCGAATTCCAGTACCACATTCTTGGTGTTCCCGGAGGCACCCTTGGTACAGGAGACGAAGTCTCCCCGATAATGGTAGCACAACGCCGGGCACTGCGCAGGGACAAAGTCCTTGATGGTTAGTATGCAGGTACCCCCAGGTTTAGTAGGCTCCGCTGTCACTCATGTGGCATGTGGGTTGCTGATGTTCTTGGGTAAAAAAAAAATACACTATTATATTAAAATGATGTGCAAAACTCAGAGGTAGATATTAATACCGTAACATATGCATGTGGATCAAAACATGCACACACGCTAACCAATTGAGAAAGGGATGGGGTTAAGAGGTACGAATTAGTAAAATAACAAGATTTAGGGGTCGTTTGGAAGTTGTGATTGTTAGAGTTGTGTTTGTTGAATACATGTATTGTGCACAATACAATGTTTGGAAATGCCAAAATGTTAAACAATGCATGCATTGTTTTAGATAGATCCTACCAACAATCACAAAAAATGATGCATTATACAATCTCAACTAATTGTTGTGATTGTTGGTTTGTGTCAACTTTTTCTTTCCATTTATATCCCCAATAGTTTTTGTCTTATTCTAGAAGTTGAGGGTAAATGTGACATTTTCCCATAAAAGTAACTTTATGTAAATCAATGCATAAAATAGAATCTCAACAACCAAACAATGTATTGTTAAAATGCATCCATTATATTAATACATGCATTTATATTAGGGTGATTCATTACAATACAACGATTTAACATTCGCAACTTCCAAACGACCCCTTAGTCTAATAACACCATTTATAATTCATCAAACGTGATTTTGAACCTAGAGATCCCATGTTCGAATTTCTCAAATAGCACCTATAAATTTTTTTTTAAAACTATATCACCTTTATCTAAGGGTGGGCATTGGGTGAGTCGGGTGGATTTTGACCATAAAATGCATCCACCCGCGCTTAAACGGATTGATAAGTTTTAACCCACCACCCACCCACATTTAGTCTCGGGTTGGGTCGGGCGGATGGTGGATGATTTGGGTGGGTTTGTGGGTTCACCCACTTCACAATGTATATAATATTAAGGAGTCAACTTGACATGATAATAGACGAAGAGAGTTATCTGGGGAAACAAGAAGATGAAATAGGGCGAAAAAATGTCGAATTAGTTCTTAAAATGGATAGAAATTCTATTATGAAAGAGTTTTCTACAGATTGAGATGATTACCAGGTGCAAGGAACTAAGAAAAATAATTCCACAAAGGAAAGAGCAGTGATCTAGGCACAAGAATTAGAGGAAAAAATAAAGGGAAGAAGAGGGGATCGCTATTTGGAAGGTTGGCTTTGAGGTTCGAACTCCAGGAGCAATCCTAGTTTATGTCTAACGTCTCCACTCTCCCCTCTCTAGCGCCGACGGCTTTGATCTTTTTGTTGTTGGGTTGAGCGGGTCACCCGCGCACCCACCCACAACCCACCCGGCGGATGGCTCCCAGCGCAACCCGTCACCCACCCATAGACCCACCCACTTAACGAAATTCGGGTCAAATACGGGTGGATCGGCCCAAACCCGCGGATGATCCGCCCGCATGCCCAGCCCTACCTTTATCTATAAAATAAAATCATCTAACGTGATGTTTCGTACAAATATCACATAGCAAAATAACAAGTTTTGTGACATGTGATATTTGCGTCGCTAGGGTTGGCTACTCCGTTGGGACGCTCCGGAAAAATCGGAACAAAATTAATCAACTCTCAATATTGTAAAAGAAATTTTTTAATTGGACCCATTTTAGACGTTAGTAGTGTCATAAACCAGTTGGTCCCAATAACTCGAGTTGTTGGGAGAAGGTTTTGCTGGATCTTATATCCCTCTCTAACACGCCCCCTCAAACGAAAACCAACCCATGGGCTTGAAGTTTGCACAGGCCCACCATACCATGTGCTTGAAAGACAACGGTTAATATTGGGGGTCGTGGAGATTCGAACACATGACATTTCGGTTCTAGGCTCTAATACCATGTCGTTCAATCGTGAATCATATACCACAACACTAACACGCCCCTCAAACGAAAGTCACTCACAAGGGTTTGAAGTTTGCACAGATCTGAAGACAAGAATACCATGTGCTTAACAAATTGGGGTCACCGGGAATCGAACACTAGACCTCTCGGTCACAGAAGGCTCTGATACCATGTCATAAACCAGTTGATCCCAATAACTCGAGTTGTTGGGAGAGGTTCAATCGTGAATCATATACCACAACACTAACAAGTAGAAATTGTGATTGCGAGTTGGATGTCTAATTTGTTCAATGTGGTAATGTTGATCTCTTATATCTCTGTTCGTGGACATACTGCGCAATGGTACGGTAGCCAGAATTGTCGAACTCTGCAAGTCCTCTGTTTTCTTTTCCTTTTCCTTTCCGGATTCTTCCGCCCCTCTTCTGGGTTTTCCAAGTCCTAGAGGGACTAATACAAGCGGATAAATTGTAATGTGTGCTTGCTTGCTTGCTACTCTGTTCTTTTGTGCATTACTCTGTTTTCGGGTAATCTTGCCGAGAGGATCAGATCGCTTAGTCCATCTCACTATCGTTCACCTATTTCTTCTACTCGATCGCTTCCCTAATGCTGGTCGGCGATTTCCTTCGCAATGGGTCTGCTGGAAACCCCGCAATTAATCGGAGCTTGCCCTAATTTCAGACAATTAAGCTGCTAAAAGAGAAAAACAGAGGAGGGTCGAACAACTTGAGATCCCCAAGCTTGGAAGAAGATGAGACGACCTGCAAATCGTGATCCTGATGAGCTGATTCAGATTATGGCATATATATGCGATCCCAAGCTCTCTTCGTAAGTACATTAGTTGAGAAAATCTCAATGCTTCTATCTCTTCTTTCACCCTTTGCTTTTTTTTTTTCTCCCTCTTTTCGCTGCAACTTGAGTTATTGAGATCGATGTGATGAAATGGTGATTCATCACGAGTGTTTTTTGATGTGAAAACACATGCAGCGAGGAAATTCTGTTTCAAGATGTTGCGAAGAGATGGATCTGGATGCGAAAGGATTTCATACAACGTGTAGGGAAATTGGGGGTGCCGAATGCTTTGAGTGACCTCTACATTGACCACATAAACAAGAGCTCTCTACAAGCGAACAATGGCTACTTCAAAAAGTTCATCTTCCGTACCACCCTATCGGTAATTTTAGCCGTGAACCTATTGTTATAGTAAATTTGTATGTGTGATTCATTACTGAACTTCTCCCAACAGCTCGATTTATTGGGGATCAACTGGTTCTTGACACAGTATATCGAATCCTTCTGTAACCGAATTAAAGATTTTATGTCCGAATCCCGACGACCCCATTTGTTAATTAAGCACATGGTATTCAAACGCACGTTGTGTGCACACTTTTGAAGCCCCCATATATATGGTGACTTTTTAATTGAGGAGTGTATTAGTAAAACGACATATGATCCACAATTGAACATATTTCAACAACTCGAAATAACTGGGTGTGCATGCAGGATATTGAGACTCGAGAAGCTGACAAGAACAAGGATGATAATGCTTACTTACTGCAAGTAAGACAACATCTGTCAAGCATCCACTACGTACCAGAGGGGAAGATCGACGCCAACAAATGTGACCTAGTAAGTACACTTTTTTTGTTTTAATTTGACTAGTTGTTTCACCAAATTTGACGTCAGTTGAGCTCAATGACTCGAATTGTTTATTCATGTTGCGCGCGTTTTACGGAAAACGCGATTTATTTGCAGTGGTGCATCCCCATATCGTACAGAAACCATCTGTCGGCGGTCGTGGTGAACATGAAGGCGGCCTGCTTCGAATATCTGGACAGCGGACCTTTCATAGACGGCAGAAGTACCTTTTTGACAATGGACGCCTTGTGCAACAGAATCTCCAAGTTCGTGACCGTGTACGTCAACTCCATGCGACGACAAGAGAACAGAGTTGACTTCTCCAAGTTCGAGTGGAGATTCCCCCTGCTCCCTCGTCAACCTGTCGATTCAAAAGCTTGCGTTATATACACTCTGCGGTTCCTTGAGGAGTGGAATAATAATGGCGGCGGCGGGAGAATGGACCTGCGGAGGTTCAACGGGTGGAACAAGGAGTTGTGGCATGTCAACCAGAGGAAGAAGATGTGGGCCACGATTTTGACTCTAGAGGCCAATGTCATTCGCGACGAGATCAAGCGTAAGGCGCGAGAAAAACGACGACGAGAAATTGGTGAGAGAAGAAAAGTACGACGAGAACCAACGACGTCGAAGAAGAAAAGTGGTGTTGGAGGAGGTTATGAAACCGTTTGATCCAATCCAGATAGTAGTGTTGGACGAGGACCAAACACAAGTGTGATGCAGTGATAGGGATAAGTATTATTGATATTGTTAGTATGATTGGTGTAGGGCAACATTACTAATCCAATTTTGCTAAGTACCTAAGTCGATTGTTAACTTATCTTTATTTCATGATTAAATCTTTACTAACAATATTATTAATCTAATTCTAATATATTTTTATGATGATTATGATTCAATCTCTCTTACGATTTCACAATGTGTGCAATACTTTTCATAAGCTAAAAAACAGCTGATTTTAGCATTCGATCACACTAATAATCTCTCTCTCACTCACTCACTCACTCACTCACTCGGCTTGCGTTCGTTACTTTCTCCTCTTCTCTTTCCCCTTTCTGCCCTTTTCATTCTTTCCTCACTCCTCACCTGCATTTGCGTTTCCATCCTCCATCCTCCGTTTGTTTCCCTGGAAAGGAAAAGAAAGGAAACATTTTTCTTGCTTCTCCAGCCAAACTACGAAGAACCCATCAAAACCCAGAGCCCATCTTCGGCCGTTGAGGTACCCTCTTCGTTTCATGATTTCACTTTCCCTGCCTCTGTCTCTCTTCGTTGCTCGATTTGATTTATACGGATCCGCAATTAGGGAAACGTTAGCCTAATGCGATCTGAATTACGATTTACGAACAGTCGCGGCACAGATCCAGAGCGTGAATCCTGACTCTATAAATCCTGCCTCCGCGAAATTTGGAGCCCATTCGAGACTGTTGATCTTATATACTTTCTCTGCAGGTACAAATGTGTGTAAGTTAGGCTCATGAGAATTGGAAGCAATGGCGTTTAATTGAGCTGCGGAGGGAATTGGGGTGGAAGAGAAAAGGATGTCTTCTTCGAGTAAGACTGATAAGAAGGCGGCTGTGGACGCAGCCGCATGGATGTTCAATGTGGTCACATCAGTTGTAATCATCCTTGTGAACAAGGCATTAATGGCTACCTATGGCTTCAGTTTTGGTACGGTTTATCCTTATCATGGCTTCTCACCCCAAAATTTCGTCACTTTACCCTTTTAGAAAGTTACTGTTTGTGGGTTTAGCAATGAAATGAAAACAGGATTGTGAATAATTGTTTTCAGACCTCTTAGTAGATTGATTGTCAGTGACAGTGTGGTCTGACTGCATTTATGCTGTCAATGTGATTAACAACCATGCTTTAGATTTACACGATGATCGAGCTCCTTAGCTCGTCTACCCTCGTAGAAGTTAAGTATATACCGAGGTGCGTCAGTGTCAGAGCAGATGAGGTAGGTAAGGCTAGTTCTGGATCAAAATTCTTGATTTGATCTTTGTCCTGTAATGATCTCCTTAGCTAGTAGTATCATGCTTTTTGAGCATCACTTTCTTACTAATGAAAGTGGTTCTTAATTGTTCGAAAAACAAAAGATTCGGCTTCCTTACACTGAGCATTGCATTGTTTCATAGTTTCATTATCACGATATTACCATACTGCTGCAATGTGAAGATTTAAATGATTCATGAGGCAAATACTTAAAATGAGTCAGTAGTGGCTCGTTTGGCATTATTTTGACAGTTTTAGTTATTGTTTGGACTCTGATTTGGGGGTTCAATGTTTGTCTTGCAGCTACCACCTTAACTGGTATGCATTTTGCAACAACGACCTTGTTAACACTTGTACTTAGGTGGATGAAGTATATTCAGCCATCTCACCTGCCAGTATCAGAGCTTCTTAAGTTCGTTCTGTTTGCAAACTTCTCTATCGTTGGGATGAACGTCAGTTTGATGTGGAACTCAGTTGGATTTTATCAGGTGAGGTTTAGTGAAATATGCAATGTCTGTTATCTCATTACAATGTTGACGTGGAATTTACAAAGTTTTCTCTCCACAACTTTTCAGATTGCAAAATTGACAATGATACCAGTGTCTTGCTTTCTGGAAGTAGTCTTAGACAACATGCGATATTCAAGGGACACAAAGCTTAGCATAGGAGTAGTTCTGCTTGGCGTTGGGGTGTGCACTGTGACAGACGTCAGTGTCAACTTCAATGGATTTTTAGCTGCATTTGTTGCTGTTTGGAGCACTGCCCTGCAGCAATATGTGAGTAAAACCTTCTCTGGATCCTTTCTTATTGCCAAAACTTGCTGTGTTTACGGATTTGGTTAATTTAACTCCTTATGCTCATGGGGTTTATGAACTTGTTTACTTTTGGTGTTGACTGAGGATAACTATGAGGGTTGGTTGTCCTAATCCTAGCTGTTTATATTACTATTCCGAGACATTCTGGAGAAACTTATTATGACATGAACATGATCAGCTGGTTACAGTCTGGATTTACACATTTCACCCTTTCTTTGACTAATCATCATATTTTATGGAACTTTTGCAGTATGTACATTATCTTCAGCGAAGGTATTCTCTGAATTCCTTCAACTTGTTGGGTCACACTGCTCCAGCACAAGCTGGTTCTCTACTTTTGGTTGGGCCCTTTCTGGACTATTGGTTGACGACAAAAAGAGTTGACGCGTACCCTTATTCCTTGACGTCTGTGGTAAGTTTTTATGTTGGACTCTAGTTTATATTCATTATCTCTTTCATTTGAACAACTTCCGCTGCAATTACTGTCTATTATCCATCAATCGATGCTCCGAGAAAGATACTCCATAGGGAGCACGTATCGTATTAGTGACAGAAGTAGCATCTTTCGAGAAATCTGATTGTTAAGTGCATTTCAAGGAAGTGAAAACCATAACTTGGTCACCCTTTCAATGTGCAGTTAACCACTGCTTACCAAGCACATTACTTTTTCTTACTATGTCTTATAAGAGCCCTTGGTATCAGCTCGTTCATCATGGTACCCTCCACCTGATCTAGAACTGGTGTTTGTGTATGTCTGCAGCTGTTCATAGTGCTATCATGCACCGTCGCCATAGGAACGAACCTCAGCCAGTTCATCTGCATTGGGAGGTTCACCGCGGTTTCCTTCCAGGTCCTGGGTCATATGAAGACGATCCTCGTGCTGGTCTTGGGCTTCGTCTTCTTCGGGAAAGACGACCTTAATTTCCATGTGATTGTGGGCATGATCATCGCTGTGGCCGGGATGATTTGGTACGGCAATGCCTCATCGAAGCCTGGGGGCAAAGAGCGTCTGAGTTCCCCAGCTAACAGCAGCACCAAGTTCCAGAAATTGGAAACTGCTGATGCTGATGATAAAGTTTAGACACCACTAGATAAATTTAGAACAGAAGAGGAAGGAGGTAAAGAAAAAGGGAGAGGACAGGATGATTTCTAGACTGGCATTTTCAGATGAATTTTAGTTCTAAGTATTGGATGTTGATTACATAGCTTCTTTTTTCTGTTTGGATCATAGTTAGGGTAAAGTATGGTTCCAGATGAGGTGAAATACAAGGGGGTAAAAAAGAGTTATTTGTGACCATGATGTTCTCTCAAGAAATTAATTATTGATTTCGATATTGAATTTCTGAATTTTCATTAATCTAGCACAACTTTAGTCTTGAACCATTAATTTCACTTGCCGATCTCATTTTCGAGACTTAATTCAATTGACACACTTTTCATAATTTTCAGAAATCACTATTTTTTTTTATTGATGTATTATTATTGACGATAAAAATATTATGACTAACCTCTCCTTACGAATAATGGGCCGGTGAATATCATTCAACGGCCCGTGGGCTTTCTGGGAAATAGAAGTTGGGCTCCCTCCTTTTTTTTTCACTTGGCCGCCGCTCCTCCAAGTACTCAAACCCTCGCCACTTAACAGTTCATTCTCTCCTTCCCTTCTGCTTCCTCCGGCAAATCGTCTGAGAGCTTTCGTCGCTCGAAGTCCTCGGAGAACAGAAACATGGCTGCCGCTGCTACTGGAGACGTCTCCGTCAAGGCTGGGACCGTCAAGGACGTGTCTCCTCACGAGTTCGTCAAGGCTTATGCCGCCCACCTCAAGCGATCTGGCAAGGTAATTTCAATATCCCGTCTGCTCACTGAATCTCAATACCCTGAAGAAATGCTGGGAGTTGAGGTACCGATTCTGGGTTAGTTGATTATTTGAGGATGGACATAGGGTCGTCGGAATTAGATACCGACTGACTAGTTTGACAATTTGCTTTGAGACATGCTGGTGTCATTCACTATTAGGGATTATCTGTAATCGGAGCCATTCTGCTGCTTTATTCTCTCCTAGAGTTATGGTTGGCGTTTACTTGCTGAGAGAAGTGATGGGGATCCTGTAAAGTTAGTGTCTTTTTAGTGAACTCTTGCTTATTATTAGATTCTTGTTGAATCTTCTGATTCAGAGGCTTGTAATTTTTAGCTTCAAGTGTCTTGGTAATAGTAGCCGTGGAAGGCTCAGTTTGCTGAATGGTTGCCTTAGCTCAATTTCCTGGTTGCTTGAATATTTTCATCGGGGGAGTGCAGATTGTGAATGTTGCTTAGTGAGCTGGTCTTAGTCCTGCCCGTTAATCCAGGTTCTCGGTGTGTCTGTAATGAACTAGTTCTAATTTGTTGAACTTGTATATCTTAGGGTGATTCAATGTATGCTGTTCTGTTTACATATAGAAGTTTGAGATCAAGTGTTTTGGTTTTTACTTTGCTGCCTGGCCTATGTGTTTCTGGCTAACATATCCTCTTTGTTGTTTCCTATTCTTTGTTTTTTAAATTAGATCGAGCTTCCCCCATGGATCGATATTGTGAAGACTGGTAAGCTGAAGGAGCTTGCCCCTTATGATCCTGACTGGTATTACATTAGAGCTGGTGGGTATCCCATATAGTCTGCATGTTACATCACAATTTATATACTTACTTTTGATCGTTACTGGGTAGTCTAAAGCTTTGTCGAACTACTTTACTGTGATTGCAGCCTCAATGGCAAGGAAGGTTTACTTGAGAGGAGGTCTTGGTGTCGGTGCTTTCCGTAGGATCTACGGTGGAAGCAAGAGGAACGGAAGCCGCCCTCCTCATTTCTGCAAAAGCAGTGGTGCTATTGCTCGCCACATTCTTCATCAGCTGCAGCTGAATAACATTGTCGAACTCGAACCCGCAGGGTGAGTCGATAGCTCTTTCATGTCTTTACTACCGATACAACTTCACATTCTCACTCTAATTCATCAGATATCAAGATTAACATATGATGAAATGTTTCTTTTTCCCCCATCTTAATTGGGATTCTAGTGGGAGGAAGATCACTTCGAATGGCCAGAGGGATCTCGACCAAGTCGCTGGGCGGATTATGGTTGCTCATTGAAAGACTCGAAAACGCTGAAGATGCTTAGCTGAAGCATGTGAAGGGAGAGGATTGTTAAAGAGGTTTGATGTCTAGATTCCTAGCTTACTTGGTCTTTTTTTGAAAGATGTGAATGCTTTGTGGCGGATAATAAGTAAATCAGATGTAGCGAATTATGTGTAATGTCTTGAGTTTGGCGCTTCTCTCTTGGAGATGAGCTTTTCTCCTGGTAAGGTTTAAAGGGAATATCCAGATACGGTTGTTTTCAAAGACCAACTGTTGAAAAACCAGACAAAGGTGCTGTGTTTGGATCTGGAACACAGTGAATACCTAACACCAAACAGCGCCTAATCTTCTTCTATTGGTTTTTACTCGGCAAGAAGGATTCCTCTAGGTTTGATGAACAGTATTTTTCATTTCAGTTAGGTAGGGGGTGCTGAATCTGTTCAGTAAATGAATCTGTCGTCCTTTTGTCAATACAAACTCAAGCCTACTTGCTCTTCCTCTATCTACGACTTCTTGTGATCTCTCTGTCTCCACTGTTCTTCAATAACAGAAACAGTTTGGTGCATATGTGTTCTGGTTTCCACTTTATGCTTCCTGTTGTTGAAAGCTCTTCTTCATAAAGGGGGGAGGAGGAAGAGTTCGATTACGATTGCCAAACACGGTTGTGATGATCGACGAGGTAGTCGAGATGCTAATTCATATCGAACCCGTTTCGATAAATTGAATCGTTGAGCATAAGTCTTGAGAATGTGTAAACTACCACAGACTTAGTTTACTTTTTCAAGGGGCAAGCTGATTTCCTATGTTTATAGATTGAACCACCATAACAAACTTTATTATCATGTCATTAATAAGTTAATCCCAGCAAACTCTTCAGTAAACTAGATTCTTCCTGACCTCATGGGTCTAATCAATCAAATTAAGCTCCAGCTTGGCATCAAGAAATAGGAAATGAAGCATGAATAGTTCAAAGTTGATTAGAATTTTTGCTGTTTGGATTCTCTCTTGTGGTGGGGGTTTTTCTTTTTTTTTTTTCCATTCCCTTTTGATTTTTCCTCCCCCACTCAATGGGTTTCATCAATTCATCATGAAAATATCTCTCTTACCATTTCTTGCAAATGAAATGAAGTGAGCCCCCACCAAAAAAAAAGAACAAGTAAAAAATTAGAGGGAAACCTCCCTTTAATCAATTGCCTTATAATTACTAGTTCTAGATTCATTAAAGTAATTCTATGATTATATTATCTCCTCGATCATAAATTTCTCATCATAGCTTTTAGCTTTTGAAATGACCAGGGAAAGATAATCAAAGGGAAGAAGTCACACGATATCAGTGAATTTTTCGATTGGTATATCATCTTAACTACTTCGATCGTAACATTACTAATTATGCTGATGGGTTTAGATGTTATTAGTTTACAAATCATGTGTACCACTTTGTGGTCGCACCGTAGCTATAGATTCTATTTCTACGTGCATATTCGATAACTAAGTGCATATTCGATAACTAATTATATGAACTCTCACAAGACGCGCGATCCGACAATATCAACTTATACCAATAGTCTGATATCAGTCTTTGTCGGTATAATCACAAGCGAATTACTCTTACTATAATCTTGTATCACAATCTACAATCCAACGATATCAATACCTCATTCACATTTTACTCTCTCTCTCCATGTCCCACCACAAACAGAAATCCAACGTCCTATCCACACATAAAGGTGGTGGCTTTCAATCTTGGGGGATGAAAAAAAAAGGGAAAGAGTGCATATATCTTTGGTTGTGGGTTCTTTTCGATTTCTGCATGTACAATCATGTTATAGTACGACGAAGAACAATACACATATGCTTTGAATCAGCAAAATTTTCACTATACAAGAAAAAGGTGAAAACAATACATCCTCCCTTCTGAATCATCCTTCTTATGTTCCACGGGTCAAAAAAAAAAAAAGGCCCATATGGCCGTGACATTATTTTTCTTACTCGATTGGTAGTACTATCGTAAAAAAAGCTTTGCTTGGAAATGATAATCAATAATGGAATAGCTAGGGTTTTTTTATTTTATTTTTACTATCCTACCGCATTGAGCTATCTTGCTTTGCCTGTACGGCACATAGTATCTTTTCCTCTATCGATACATGCATGCATGACAAAGAACACCACAAATTTGACCTATATTGTCACCCCGATCATACCAGATCGAGCGACCGTGATTACTAATCAGTCGCGCGTCAAGGCGAGTTCTAAATCTCGAGTATGAATTAATAGATATCATGTCGAATGCCTTCATTATATACTTCAACATAAAACTCAAATTACTCGCCATATATCCATTAATCAATTCAACGATCGTGAAAAAAACACATACTTTGACGCGCGACTGATCTCTCGTCGCGCGAGTCGTGTCACGGTATCGCAGTTCACCCTGAAACAGTGGCGGATCCAGGAATTCTATGTAGGGGTGTCCTCTATAAAAAATTATATTATATATTAGAATTAAATTAAATAATTATTAAATATGAAAATATCTAACTAATAAAGTTTCATTAAAAGTTCAGACGTGTTTCATCAAATGATAAAATGCATTCGGTGTTTATACTGCTCAACAAATATCTCTCGACCTATCTTACTAGACTAGGATATCCCGTAATTGAGTTTAATCGTTAGGTTTTGAAAATAATTTGAGATAAGAATAATATTTTACTATTATATTTGGATCTAAAACACAATAACAAATGAGCTGTAGCGTAATCGAAAATATATTAACTAATAGTGGCAGTGTCCCAAATTTAAATCACATAAACTACTACTTAAATATTATTTATACCAATACTCAAACTACTACGGGAAATTGAATAATCATTTTCCCAAATTTTAAAGGTGTCCCACTACCACTTAAATCTTTTTTTTCTCATACGCAAATTACTATCGTAGGTTGAATAATCGTGTTTCCAAATTTTAGGGGCGTCCCGGGACACCCCTAACCATGCATGTATCCGCCACTGCCCTGAAACGCCTTAACTATTATACATCACTCATCACTGTAGGAAAAAAAACAGATACCGCCATAGCTGGTGGAGGACAAACAATTGAACAGCGACAGGCTGGAGAAGTTGTCGGTGACCCATAACGGGATGCAACCAAAAACGGATCCTTTCCTTCCCGTCGCCCACCGCACGCGCGCGCGGACGGACTCTCCGACGGCCGCCGTTGGTTATACGTGGGGGCTGTTTTGTGGTGGTGGTGGGTCCGCCGGTGGCCAATTAATGTCGCAAAACCAGTGGACACCGGCACGTGTTCGCTGCACCTATCGTTGGTCCCGGGTGCACAGTCACCACCATTGTCTTTGTCGACGCCATCGATCAACTTGCTTTGGCTTCGTCCATGGTGGTGAAAGTTTGTGTTGCTACGAAATTAGGAAGATCGTGTTCCATGGATTTGGGGCTTCTGTCTGTTGAGAGAAGGAGAAGAAATGTTTCAAGGAAAAAAGAGAACAAAAGGGTAATTAGAAGTGCCGGATAATTCGAGAGTTATTGAGAGAGGTTCGGATTCGTGACATGATCAGTAATAATGGTTGGCGGGTTCATAAAAAGAAAAAAAATAATAATTACGGGCATTGAACAATCGGATGGAGGCTACTACGCCGGCTCAACCAGCTTGTCTGAGAACTACTGCCGACCGATTACTACTACTAAATAACCAACTTCGTGTCGTGCCACCATCATCACAACGTACTGCTGCAGAGGTACGATGCCTCCGTTTCTGTTCTAGGCATATATGCGTGTGCGCATAAAGACGTTGGAAATACTTTCTTTGTGAACCAGGAAGTCACTGTTACTCGTTGACATTATTCTCTCGTAGTTAGCGGATTTAATTGACTATATATACATCTATCATCTATGCATCCTATGAAGCTAAGATCAAAGTAGTGAGGTTATTGAGATTCGAGAGAGCTAATTCATCTTTAATTATAGAGCTCAATAGTTCTGAACTCGTTTTGCCACAAAAGTTATGCAAATCATTCCGCTAGTTAATCATGGGCCGTCACTTCAATCATCATTAGGAAATTCGTTAATTACACGTTGTTGATCGAAAGAGAACGGATTAATTAAATCAGATAATTAATACGAAAATCGAAAGATCTGTCCATCCTAACGGTATCGATAAGACCAAGCCTTATCAGTTCCACAATTTCCGACTTCGAGTTATTTAATATTATTTTATTTTTTAAAAAAACAAAACAAAAGTTTTTGCATTGATGGGCTTTGGGAATTTGAGAGCCTGATCATCCTTCAGATGTCAAGTGGGCCCATCGGTCCAGTAAATGATGGCCATTCCCGGTGGGCCCGGCCTTCCTCCATGCTCTCTCACCATTTTTCTCAACTGATTGGAGATGGCTTCGGAAAGAGAGATGGTGACGGAATGACAGTCATCATGTATTCTAACAACAAAAGAAGCAAGAGAAGAGCCTCTTCTGTTTCTTCCTCTTTTACTCTTGTTTACCTAATAATAATTAGTTAATCGCAATAACTCATTTCAGTTCTTTGTACATTTATAATCAAACTAAAATCAATTAATGAACTTAACTTTGCACAAAATCGCTTTACATTATGTTTACAGACTACATCAACGGACTATATTGAAAGATTTTGAAGATTCAACCATACGATCATTTGATCAAGCCAAATAACTCGAATTTTTTGAAAGAATATTATCGTGAGATCCAACGGACAAAGGGAGAGAATCCAAAAGACTACTCATCAGTCAGCTATGAAGTGCCTTTACTAGCCCTATCTTTGCCCTATATATGGGAATAGAACTCCATACATAAAACCTTTAAAAAAAATTCTGGTCAACCGAACAGAGTTTCTAATGATCGGTTGACACAACATTTTACCTACAGACAATCAGACATTTTAGAATTGTGGACATAACCTTAGTGGAGAGCATATTTCTGCGGTTTGTTTTTTGGATCCTTTCATCCCCCTCTCCTCTCGTCCACTTCATAGTTTGGAAAAAGAGTTGGTACGACTATCTTTACATTTGGAAAAAGTTAGGAGGAGTTGTAGTCCGCTCAACTTTGAAATATAGGTAGCATTACATGTAAATTTGGACAAATTTAGGAATTAGAATGTCAGTAAGGCTTTAGGCCCCCCTATTCTCTCCAATTATGACGATTCAAGTCAGCCCCCTCGTTTAGATTTCTGACTTCGTCATCGAAATCGAGACTAATGATGTCGGATCCCAAATGCATGCATGTATATACAGCATGGGGTCGAGGTATTGTCATTGAACATGCATTGTTGTTGGAGTTTCCGGTGTTAGCAAAACGGTATGAATATTCATAACGGTTGTCGGAATCTCGCCGACGGCGATCCCGTTTGTTAAGCACATGCATCGCGGACCTGTAAAGAGTTCAAACTCATATGAGTTGAACTGAGTTTGAGAAAATCGTGTTAGTAAACAATATAAGATTCATAATCGAATCTCTCCCAATAGCTCGATTTATTGGACCAAGATTCAATTTGAATGAGAAACGAACAGCCCCTTTATTATAA